CTCCCTCTCTCTCTCTCTCTCTCTCTATTGCATAGGATGATATCCTCTGCAGTGAGGGCGGGGATTACAGTATTATTGCGGTTAGAAGTGATGTGTACTTGAAAGTTTTTTCTTAGCAGAGTTTTTGTAGGATTTTTTATTTCTTTGTGTTGAAAATGTCTACCTGCTGTCTCCCTACCAGATCTACATATGGTTATGCCTTTCTAGGTGGGTAGGTAGGTTATCTACTTCTGAGATTCAGCCATTGTAGATAAAAATATATATGTCTATAGTAAAATATTTCCTTCACATGAGCCCTTTTATTGTTCTTAATGGCCTCAAGTTGAGTAGTTTCAATATCAATTTTAATAAATAAAAATTTTACTCACAGAGCACATTTTCTTTATTAATTTTGCCTTTTTATTATTTCTTTCTATTCTTGCAATAAACCTTTGGGTTAATAGGGCAAGTATTACTTCCTTTTTAAAGTTAACCGATTTACATCAGATGGAGACAAGATACTTCATTGGATTGCCCTCTCTCCACTTTTATGAATTCCTGCTCACCTGGGGCCACACAATTAGTGAATGGTGGTGTTAGAACTTGAACTCAGGGAGTACAGGTGATACTGTGCACATACCATATATTAATCTACTCCCAGTGGAACCCTGTTGCTAAACACTTGAATATTTCTGCATTTAATAATATTAATCACAATAAATAAAGATCATAGGAAACATTATATCTGTTCAGGTCAAGTGTTACTGCCAAACGGTTTTCACACTTTCAGATAAGGAATTGTGAATATGTATTCCTTTAGCCCAGGTGTTCTCCACCACTATATGGAGCAAGTAACCATTTAATAAACAATGACTACTTGCACACCTTTTCTCTCTTCAAGGCTTCTCTGGATAGCAACCTATTGGTAGTCTTCAGAGAGAATAATTAATTCCAAATATTTTCTCCATCACCTTGATTATGCACAAGATGCAATTATCTTCTCTTTCACTACTGAGAACTAAATTACACTTTACACAAAATCACTCAGTTTTTCACTTGTTTATCTTCCTCTTTCAACTTCTCCATATCACAGAAAATTCAAGAAGGGACTGTATGTCAAAGGAGAGGGGATGCAGGGTGCCAAAATCCCCTAAAAGAGAGTGGTATTCTTAGTAATAAACTTAATCTTGTCATAAATAATGAATGGGCCTCTTCTAGGACATTCTTTCTCCATTCGTTTCCTGAACCTAACATGATATCTTACATAGAGTGGACATTCAATAAATTCTTGAGACAGAAACAAAGGAAGTAAAGGGCAAAAAAAGAATAGTAGGAAAGAAGGTAACTTCTATACATTTGCTTATATAATTAAGGCAACTAGATATGTGATATGTTTATGAAGGAAAACAAGATATAAAGTGGGGAATAAAATATTATGTTAAGGGGCCCCAGGAATTCCAAATAAGGACTGTAGATTGGGACTCTAAGGAATTTCTTACTTTTTTTTTGGTTCTTGGGTTCTCTCCTATTCCTTGTTCCTTATCCAGGAACAATAAATGTGCATATTTCACTTGGTGATATTCACATTTGAAATCTGACTACATATCATTCTAAATTCAAGAACTCACTGCATTCTTTTATATAGTGACATTTTCTATTGGTTAGTCCTTGTGAAAAACATGAAAGGTAAAACTACACCCCCCAAAACAGTTTTGCACTTACAATACCTCTGCAAAACAAGTCCAGATATCACTATCCCAGCTAATTTTTTCTGTCATGACTTGGTTTTCAGTCACTTCCATCTTTCTACTTTCATTGTGGCTTTTGCTAAGGACTTGGAGACTTGAATGGCAGCTGTATTTCCAATTGCTTTACAACATTTTATTTCCAGAACACATCACCTTGCAATGTGTTCCCTTGGGACACATTTCAGGATCATTAAATTAAAAATGGAAGATGTAGTTGATGATTGACTGCTCTCTAATTACCCAGAGTATTTGTCAAAGGCAGTAGGCAGGAGACATAGGCTCCATTTTGCTGTTATATGCACTGTCAGCTTTACAGCACATCTCTCCTAACATAGAAGACTTCCCTGACTAGTATATTTAATGGAATAGATCTTTGCAACTGGAATAAATCTCCCTTGGCACCAGAATAAACAGAGAGTGAAGAAAATTATCTGCTGAACAAAAATGGTTTATCTGTGCCTTAAAAATAAGAAGCCTATCTAGAATCAGGGTTTCTCAACCATTTTTCCCACTATTAAGACTTTTTAGACATATTTTCCTAATAGCTTAGCCATAAAATTTTAATACCATAGCTATACTTTGATCCTGTTTATGTACAAACCATTATAATATGTAAACTTTTCTCTCCACCAAGAACAATTTTTATCCTCTTAGATTATGCTTGCTAGTACACAGATTGAACTCAGATGGTGTTTTGTCAATTTGATATGCAAGGCTACCCTATTCTGGACTATACAGTTCAAGAGGATGTAAGATAGAAAATGGTTGTTTAGTGAATCATTTATTGCCAACTGGGAGATCAAATCTCATTCCTCTCCTAAAAATAAGGAAGCTCTAATAACATTAAAGAGCACATGGTTCCCAAGTAAAAATGGTGTCCAAGTCAAAAATCTTGTGCTCACAAATTCAAACTTCTCAATGTACAGAGAGAGGGGCAGGCTTTGCTCTTAGAAGGGATAAGACTGTGAGCTTGCAACAACTACTATCTTGTGTGCTTGTCTATTAGCACACATTTCTGGAACTCTGTGTAGACGTTTAGCTCTATGAGTGCAGGGATTGTGTTTGATTGTGCTTACCAATGTAGAATAAAAGAAAGAAAAAAGGAAGAGAGAAAGGAAGGGAAGAAAAGAGGAAGACAAGGCACTATGCTAAGTGACTTGAAGACTGCCTCTAAGAATATTTATACTCAAGGTTAAGATAGATATGTAAACAAATATTACAATAATTATAATTTAAAAGTTGATTCGATATGGTAAGGTTACAAAGCAGTGGTTAATTCTATCTGGTTAGAGGTGGGAGCAAACTGAAGTGGGTTATGAAAATGCTTAGAGAGACAAGGCTATATTAGGACTTTCGTGGGCCCTAGGGCACTCTTGGTTTGTGGCCTTTTCTTCCATAAAACACATTTAAATATGATTATAGCACAATAAAGTGAGCATAAGGATCTGAGTATTCTAGGAGCACATAGCCAGGAGGTCCAGCAAAGGCCTCCAGGAAGGCAAGATGTTTAAGTGAGAGAGACCCTACAGCAAGAGTGGCTGACAGATAGGCAAGTATGTTCTAGGTAGAGAGAACAGCTTGTTCAAAGGCCTAGAAGTAAGGGAACTATTATAGTTAATGAAACAAAGGCAAAAAGACAGAAAGGAGAGAAGCGGGGAGAGATGAAATTAGAGAGGCGTGTGAGGGCCAAACCACGTTTGGCCCTGTGTTAAGAAGTCTGGCTTTATCCTAAAGCGATTTAGTGAGTACATAATAGAGAATACAGATGCCGTATTATAAAGTTGTACAATAAAGTTGTACAAAGTTGTATAATTTTCAGTTGGAGACTGAAAATTATATATCATTATCAACTAGTGTCACCCCCAATAAATTTAATTTAAAAATAAATAACAATAAAAGCTTCTGTGTTAGGAACCAACAGGTTTAAGCCTACAGTTTGAATATTCATTCAAGCACACTGTAGCCAATGGACTGGACAGGGTGTGGTGGAGATTCTGGGAGTCCACCAAGCCCCTTCTTCAGGGCCCATGTGCTCATACCCTGCTTCTAGAAATATTTATTTTTGAAGGCTCAAAGATAAGTCCTTCCATGGGAATTGCCCCCAGCCACGGGGAACTCTCTTTCCTGAGGGCAGACCCTCACCCAGACAGCACCCATGACCATAACTGGCAAGTGAGATACAAAGGCCCAGCTATCTTATCTCAGTCAAGGGACAGCCTCGGCTCCTAAACTCCCTGAAGGGTCTGCTGAGGCCTCTGGTGTAACCATGTTGCTGGTCACTTCTTCCTCTGCCTAATCCTACTTTATTAGTTTTCCATGGCTGCATAACACATTACCACAAACCTGCTCGCTTAAAATACACATATTTGTCATCTCAGTATCCATGGGCCAGCAGTCTGGGCACAACTTAACTGGGTCCTCTTCATCAGGCTGCAATCAAAGTGTTGGCCAGACTGCGTTCTCGTTTGGGAATTTGTGGAAAACCCCACTTCCAAGCTTACTCTAGTTGTTGATAGAATACATTTCCGGGTGTTTGTAGGACTGAGGACCCCACCTTCTTGCTGTTGATTGATTGGAGGCTGCCCTCAGTGCAAAAAGGCCACCAGCAATTCCTAGAGGCCGCTCACAGTTTCTTTCACGTGGGCTTTCCCAGCATGGCCACTTACTTAATCAAGCCAGCAAGGAGGGTCTCCAGAAAAAGTCTGCTAGCAAGACAGACTCAGACATAATATAAAGTAATTGCAGAAGTAATGGCTCATCACCTTTGCTGTATTCTTTTCATTAGGAGCAAGTCACAGGTTCCATCCTCACTCAGGGAGTATGGGTTGCATGAAGGTATAAACATCAGGAGATGGCAGATACCTTAAAGCCTATCTGCCACACTTGCCTTCCTCATTTCTTAAAGGTGTACTTCCCAGAGAGGTCCTCAATAAACCTGCACACAACTATTCATCTTAGAGCTGATATCCAGGAAGCAATTCCGGAGGCGAGGAAGTCAGCTAGAGACTATTGCTGTAGTGTCAACTATGGGCAATTCCAGTGGGAGACTGAGTAACACATTTTCTTTCTATTGATAAATGTATAATTATTATTAGAATGACATATGGCCTATCTGAAAAGGCAACCAAGTCTAAAAATTACAAGGTGTCTTCGAGCAAGGATACACAACAAAAATAATTCATTTTTAGGGCTGTAGAACAGACTAAATATAACTAATAAAAATGAGCCTTTTTATGTTGCACAGTGTGAAAATAAACCTCAGACCACAATCAGTCACATGATCAAAAAGAGACAATTAGCACTTTATTAAACTAGCATAGATTGTACTTTTACAAATTGCAGAAATAACAAATAGAGCTTCCCTATTAGAGACTGATAGAAGATACATAAGCAACTGTTGGTATAATTATAGGATTAAATTCCACCTTGTTTATCAACACTCCCATTTTTATCCATCCCATTTACAATAATTACTTTTATTCTTGCTTACTTAGTCATATACAGAGTGATATAAACAATATTCCAATAGGATCCATTTTCAATGATTTCTACATCATATTATAGGCATTTGCCACTGGAAAAATGTTTGTCCTTATGTCTTCGGAGTGTGAAATATATATTGTGGCCTGACCTTCTTTTTGGAAATGTTTAAATACGGATGGATTTTTAAATTAATGATTACAAACACCGAATGACCACACTTACACACTGTGTTGTCAGGGAAATGTTTTAGAATATGGGGTGTACTCAACAGTTTACGACTCCAGTGGTCTTCATGGGTATAACTGATTGCCTTTCACTTTTGCGTATGTTTAAAATTTGTTACAAAAGAAGAATGGTGAAAAAAATATGTAATCTGCCCTCGACAATTTGTGGTGCTCAACAGCAGCACCGAAACAAGTGTCGAGTTTCTTGGGAAGTAAAACTGCAGCCCCTCAAAGAGGGGTAAGCCGCTCATCCTCTGTCATAAAGGTGTCATTAATGTGCCATCCCTTCATGTCCATGGAGTCACTGGAGATGCCATTTTCAATTGCGATGGTGTTTTCACACTTATCTTCAGCATCATCCACTTCCGATAGTCCTTTGTTCTTCCTGAATGCACATAAAAAGAATGGTTGGGATCTAGGAGGAGAAAGCATGCTCTTTTGCACAAACAGGGAGAGCAGAAATCTTAGAATGATCAAAAAATTGGAAAAGGAAAGAGGAACCTTAGAATGATCAAAAATTGATGCCCGTGTATTTTCAAATAAGCTTCAAAGATCATAAAGAGCTGATGTGGTGGAAAGATACTATCAAGATAGGAAGACTGCATGGATGATAAACACATACTGATCAAAGCAAGTGATCTTACTTGGAATACTAAAATAAATATGTATGAATATGCACATGAATGAATGAATATGTACATTTACATGAATGAATATGTTTGTGTACACACATATATACATATACATTCACACACGTAAACTGCATGAAGGAATGTGAGGAAAATGTACGGTAAATTGGCAAGTTAAAAAGTTTAGCTCTAGGAAGACTTCACAAAAATTGATTTTAAAAAAGTAATAGATTCTTCTCACAGGACTTGACAAATGGATGGCCTGCAAATGTGAAGTGAAAATCAAATTGAAATGGGATATCAAGAAGCAAACTCACGTTACTTTATAGAAAGGAAGTAACCATTATAAATTGCAGGTAGCACTGCTAGGATCTACTCACCACAAAACAGTTGTGTTCATTTGTAAGCTGACTTTTTGGAACTCAGAACACATTCTGCTGATTACATTACAACTCATAGCTATAATTCCAGGTCATTTTAAAAAAAAAAAACACCCTACATGACAGGATACATTTTGAGTTTCTCTTTCTCAGACCCTTTGTAGATCCTGCTACCCCAACCCAAGTGGTAACCACACCCTTAATATTTCCTTGGAGTGTGGAAAGCCATAGCCTTTAATCCAAAGGTTCTTCCTGTCTCTTGTGAAAAACCAAAACAGCTGAGCCAATTATGCTTGATATCACAGAGTTAGGGGGGCAAAAAAAAGAGGCAAGTACCTCTAGGCAACCATAGGGAGGAAGACTTTTCCCTGAGGCTTACCACAACCTAGCTGTTGGGGCACCGCGGAGGCATGATGTTACGCATAAGGCTCCCAGACTCACCAAAGATTCTATTGTCCCAGGAATCTAAGGAAACTCCAAAGAGGCAGGTCTAAATGGGTCACGTGGCTGGGATGGTGGGCATTGCTGTGGTGACCAGAAAGGACTCCCACCACTATGGAAGTCCCTTAGAACCTTTGTGAGTCTCTGACAGGTGAGGAGATAATGAAGATGCCCCAATGATGACTGAGGTAGAGTTTCCTATTAGTCCTATATGAAAGTCCACTTTAATGTGCTTTAAAGAATATGGTGTAAGGCATTCTGGGTGTGCAAGACTGCAGCGGGTGGACCCTGGGCACGGGGTGGCAACCAGCAGACCCAGCAAGGCGGTGATTGTGAAGCAAGGCACTGCACTCAACCCAGCATCCCGACACTGGAAAATAGAGCCTTGGGACACTGATTGAAAACACCTGTGGGGGTTGAGGCCCAGGAAGAGACTTCGAGCCTCACAGAAGAGTTCGCTGGAGAGACCCACGGGGTCCTAGAATGTGTACAAGCCCACCTACATGGGAATTAGTATGAGAAAGGCCCAGTTTGTTTGGGGAAAGTGGCGGAAGGGACTGAAGTCCCACGGAGAGCGGAGCAAGCACCATTGTTCCCTCTCGGACCCCACCCCCACATGCAGCATCACAACCCAGCAACTCGGTTGCCCCGCCCTGGTGAACACCTAAGGCTCTACCTCTCATACATAACAGGCATGACAAGACAAAGAAAAATGGCCCAAACAGAAGAACAGATCAAGCCCCACAGTAAATACAACTAAGCGACTAAGAGATAGCCAACCTATCAGATGCACAGTTCAAAGCACTGGTGATCAGGATGCTCACAGAATTGGTTGATTTTGGTCACAAATTAGATGAACAAATGAAGGCTACGTTAAGTGAAATGAAGGAAAATGCACAGGAAACCAATAGTGATGGGAAGAAAACTGGGATTCAAATCAACGGAGTGGACCAGAAAGAAGAAAGAAACCACCAAACAGAAAAGAATGAAGAAGCAAGAAGTCAAAAAAATAAGGAGAGGCTTAGGAACCTCCAGGACATCTTTAAATGTTCCAACATCTGAATTATAGGGGTACCAAAAAGGGAAGAGGAAGAGCAACAAGTGGAAAAGTTATTTGAATAAATAATAAAGGAGAACTTCCCCAATCTGGCAAAGGAAATAGACTTCCAGGAAGTCCAGGAAGCTCAGACAGTCCCAAAGAAGTTGGACCCAAGAAGGAACACACCAAGGCACATCATAATTACATTAGCCAAGGTAAAAATGAAGGAGAGAATCCTAGAAGCAGCAAGAGATAAGGGGACAGTAACCTACAAAGGAGTTCCATAAGACTGTCAGCTGATTTTTCAAAAGAGACCTTGCAGGCAAGAAGGGGCTAGAAAGAAGTATTCCAAGTCATGAAAGGCAAGGACCTCCATCCAAGATTGCTCTATCCAGCAAAGCTTTCATTTAGAATGGAAGGGCAGATAAAGTGTTTCTCAGATAAGGTCAAATTCAAGGAGTTCACCATCACCAAGCCCTTATTTTATGAAATGTTAAAGGGACTTATCTAAGAAAAAGAAGATAAAAACATGTATAATAAAATGACAGCAAACTCACGAGTATTAACAACCACACCTAAAACAAAAACAAAAACAAACTAAGCAAACAACTAGAACAGGAACAGAACTACAGAAATGGAGATCACATGGAGGGTTAGCAACAGGGAAGTGGCGGGGGGGAGGTACGGAGAATAAGTAGCATAGATGGTAGGTAGAAAATAGATAGGGAGAGGGTAAGAATGGTATGGGAAATGTAGGAGCTAAGGAACTCATGACACATGGACATGAACTAAATTGGGAGAATGTGGGTGGGAGAGGGTGTGCAGGGTGGAGGGGAATGAAGGGGGATAATGGGACAACTGTAATAGCATAATCAATAAAATATATTAAGAAAAGAATATGGTGGAGGAAGAGAAAAAAGAGGGAGCTCACGTTTATGAAAGAATGTCAGCTGATATAGAATGAATAACAGAAACAGAAAATTGCCACTACAATAATAATTGATTCTTATGAGGCACATCAATGTCTAATAAACCATAGAGTAAGACATGGTTAGGGAACAGGATATTTTCATGGTCTTAATGTATCACCCCCTTGTTTGTACTAATTAATGTATAATTAGTACAAGCAATGTACTAATTATAAAGAGATATTTGTATTTTGTCAAGGGATGAATTTGGTAAACATCACTAACAAAAAAATCTATCTGACATGACAAATTGAACAAGTGCCTCCAGATGTGGCATGCTGAAATTATATATATTATATATTTAATTCTATGTTCCTGCCCCACCTCATCTCCAAATTTTTTTTAACCTGAATCTCTCAGGAAGAAATAATCAGAAAAATCAAAATCCAGATTTAAAGAGATTTTGTAAAACAGCTGATCTGGGCTCAGCACAGAGTAGGCATAGAATTGGATGGACAGATACATGGGTGGCTGACTAGCCAGTTAGATAGATGGATGGATGGATGAATGAATGTATATCAATCACTGGTTGTCTGGATAATAAATGGATGGATGGATGGATGCATGGATGGATAGATGGATGCTATACACAAAGTTACTCAGACAGTAGTCCAAGGTGGATCTTGAATGGGATCCACCGGAAGGAAGGAAGGGAGGGAGGGAGGGAGGGAGGGAGGGAGGGAGGGAGGGAGGAGGATACACATGTGATATTTCTTTTATCTCTTATTAAAATGAATGGAGGAAAATATTCATTTTCCTACCTTAGGAATTAGGAGTTAGTATAGATTTTGCCAGGCTTCACTGATAGTTTTATTAGATAATTTCCAATGGCTGGAGTTCATAATGAAAGGTAAAGTAGCATCCAACAGTGTAGATCCTATTGTCATTGGCCAGTCTATACGCCATTGTCAAATGCGTCACTACAGACCCAATGCTGCGATGAAAGTTGGGGGTTATAGTCCCAGAGGCCTAGGCAAGGACAGGGTGCTGTGTTTTTCCATCCTCAGAGTGAAGACACTGCACTGGCTATTCCAAGCTCCAGCAATCAGTAATCAGTGCACAATGGGATGGGCATAGAGTTTCATGTGATAAAAGGGTCCTCCAGCCAGGTAAAGTCACCTACCAGATGACTAGAATACTTTGGTCCCATCTCCTGTGGACAGGACTATGGTCACTTTCCATGTCCTCCAGGAAGCAAAAGCAACTGACATTCTATAACCATCAGTCACACCACTCCATTCATAGTATCCAACATTCATTCAATAACAATGTTTTAAGTGCCTACTGTGTGTTGGAAGAGAGACAATCCATGTCCTAAAGTGAAAAGAAAGGGTTCAATAAAGGAAAAACTCCAAATTTTACTCATGCTCCCTCCCACCTACTTTTTTATGGATCATAAAAGAGAGGAGTAATGTTTCAGTAGGGATGAAGCCCTGGTAACAAATGTATATTTATAAACTATCATCAAAACCCACCTAGCTCATTCAATTTTCCCCTAAATCGCTCCTCATTGGGTTTGGAGTGAATAATAATCTCCATAACAATAAACAGATTTTAAACAGTCCAATTTTACCCTGAAATTTCCGTACATAAGTATAAAAGCCATATCACAAAAATCTTAGTGGATAGAGCTATCCGAAGTAGGTGGCAATGCAACACAGTCTTAGAAATAATGGTTGCCAGTATTTATTCACCAGTTTCTTCACTTCAAGAAATGTTTTTATGGAGTTAGAAGAAAAAATTGCAGAGAGCTGAATCCAGGCAGATCATCTCAAGGAATCTTGCCTCCCCCTCCCCAACTACAAAGGGAACATAATTCCTCAGGCGTCACTGAGGAATGGGGAAGAACTAAAAAAGCAGCTGGAAACAGATGAGGACAGCTTTCTCTTCTTTAGAAGAAGGAGTTCTCAACCACAAAGCCTCTGAAT